AACTCTTTGTTATATATATGCTGAGATTTTGTAAATTCCGATTTAATAATACTTTCATAAAGCTATTAGCATCAAATAGCGAAACGTCAGTAAAAGCAGCAATATCGTTTTGTTTTTCATTCATTAGGAAATACAAAAACCTTTATTATAATGAATTCATTCATTCACTTATCTGTACAGCCACAATTATATGCACTTATTTTTGTATGTGTGTGTGTACATTAGGTTTGTCCGACAAGAATAAAAATAAACAGTTATAGTTATTTTCAGGTATTGGTTTGGTAGGGATTTTGTTTAATTGCATGGAGGATTTCATCATGAGCTGACATCAGTTAGAGAACCACTGGAAAACCTGGGAGTACTGGACAGCTGTTTCGTCCTAGTTTGGGACTCTTCAGCAGTACGCGCTACCGGGACTCGAAGGTCATGGGTTCGAGTCCCGGTAGCGCGTACTGCTGAAGAGTCCCAAACTAGGACGAAACAGCTGTCCAGTACTCCCAGGTTTTCCAGTGGTTCTCTAACTGATGTCAGCTCATGATGAAATCCTCCATGCAGTTATAGTTATGTTTGTCAAGACATTATAAAAATTTGATGAGTAATCAAACTGTAACTAGCGGGTAGTGGGGATGTGTTGTCAAAAAACACATAAAAGAAGTTGAATAGGCGTAATACAGTTACGTAATACGATGAATAGTTCAATGAGTGAGTTGTGATTAGGATGCACATAGAAGAAACAAAGGAAAATATGGAATTATATAAGTGTTCTAAAAATTATAAATGTTATAAGCAGTTAGAAAAAAGAAACAAGCACACAACCATCAAGTCAGTAGAAGTCAACACGGCTGTTACCATGATAATAGAAGTGGTTGAATGATTTTCTTCTGTATGCATAACTCTTATCTTTCCAAATGAATGGCTAGGGCTTCAGAGATACAAAGCAGACAAAGACCTATTGCCTTTCATAGGTTGTTCTTCACTTTGCAGATCACTTTCAGGTAGTTGGTGTTTGTTGAGATGAAATGATCAGTGTTGACGAGGTGTTCGATTATCGCACTCCTTATTCAGCCAATATTACCACTTTTCAACCACGAGAGGTAGTGTTCTTGAACCCTTTTGCACAGGATATGCGTCGAACGACCATTGCACCTGGCTCCACAGCAACAGGTGAATTGATTTACTTTTGCACATAGAAGTGGCCAGATACGAAATCTTGCCCTACCGCTTCTGTAGATCAATGAACGACTAGAGAACACTACTCTTAACGTTGCTGCTGAAATTCTCCTCTTGAAGATATCGTAAGCTAAGTCTGCCTTGAAATCCAGATTCGCGTAAAGTACCTTTTTTGAAAAAAAGTGATGTTTCGTTCCTGTGGACCTTTGGTTTGATATTTTTGTCTATGAATCTTGGTGGGGATCCATTTTGGATTAAGGTTTTTGTTTTGATAAAGTCTTATATCAAATTATGATATGATCAGCGAAGATGTTCGTTTTGGCAAATTTAATTCAATTTTTAGCTGTACAATCGCATTTGTTTAAAACTTGAAAGGGGTTAGGGAGTAGACAGAGGGTAGAAATAAGAGTGACGAGTTATCACAAACATAACTGTTAATTACAGGAATTCATCATGAGCTGACATTAGTTAGAGAACCATTGGAAAACCAACAGGAAGTACTGGACAACAGTTTCATCCTAGTTTGGGACTCTTCAGTGCTTCAGGTGCCCAGTACTCCCAGGTTTTCCAATGGTTCTCTAACTAATGTCAGCTCATGATGAATTCCTGTAACCAATCAAACCCCTACAAACCAACACTTGAATAACTGTTTATTTTAGACTATGCACAAATGGAGTTGAGTAAGTGTATGACAGTTACGTAATAAGGTGAATATCTAAAGAGTTGCAGTATAAAATGATATCCTCGTCATTTTATTTCACAGGTTCTCATCAGCTGCACAACACTACCTGAAATTACAATGGTTACATGTACAGATGATAATAACATACTCTAATGTTTGAGTGGCAGTAGAGAAGAGATACTATAAAATTGACGCATCCAAAATGTAAGCAGCATTACAATTTTTAGTTTAAGTTTTCATAATCAATTTATACGCTTTTAAAGTTGAAAAGAGAGGGTGGGGGGAGGGGTGAGACAGAAAACAGAAAACACTGATTAACAGAACAGTGTCAGCTTGGAGGTTTACATAGCAACTCCAAAAACAAAAACAAAAAAGGACAAAAGCGGTTACAACAGTTTATGAGATTAAGATATCCTCAGTGAGTTGAGATCACTGAATTAGATGACTAATTAATGTAATCAAAATCACAAAAATTCAGTTACCAAGGAAGTGAGAGATTAATCACACTCTCTTCCTGTATGCATAAGTCTGGTTTAAATCGTTCGATTTCGATCGCTTCGGCAAATCGTAGTAAATTTACTGTCCTTTATCTATTTAATATTTTGAAGGACTTAGAAAACTCTACGAGATGTCCGGTATCAACAAACAATATGTCTGTTAATTGCACCCTGAGAATATTTGCTTCCTTTCAGACACAATTTTCTTGGAATATGTTGTTCAGAAAACCGGATAGAAGCCCTTCTTTCTCTCCTTCTAATGTACTTGCTCCCGCAAGTGCAGGTAAATTCATAAACGCAGTTGGAGGTGACATCAGCATGGTATTTATCCAGTTTTGACTGGCATATAGAAGAAATAGTGCTGTATGATGTTATCAGTCCAGCTGCATGGAAGCTTCTTTTTATTGCACCTTTCATTCTTTTTTCAAGTAGTCTAATTTCAGGCAGTCTGCAGCTGATGAGAACCTGTGGAATAGAATGATGATATCATTTTATACTGCAAATCTGGTCTTTCTTTCGCTAATGAAATTTATCAAGGGAAACAAATGTATGAAATTTAAAGAGTGAGTTGTAATCAGCATGCATACAGAAACGGAGGCAAAAATAGAATTACGTAAGAGTTCTAAAGCAATAAAAGAGCTATAAGAAATTAGACAAAAAACCAGACGAACAGAAATCAAGACAGTAGAAATGAACAGGGTTGTCACCATGATGGTAAAAGTGTTTGAACAATTTCCTTTTGTATGCATAACTCTGGTTTTTCTACCTGAATGGCTTAGGCTTCAACAATGCGTAGAGGAGTCGGAAGATTATTACCTTCAGCAGATTATTCTTCACTTTGTAGATCACTTTGAAGTTTTTATTACGTAACTCCTTTACCATTCTATTTTTGTTTAAAATTGAAATGCCTGTGTAGAAACTATATAAGCGCAATTTTCTGTTCACTGTTCATTAATTGCGGAACTTTCTGTCAACTGACATCATGCAAAATTTACAAGTATGTTAAGATATTTCTGTACATAAACTTAATAATATATTTGGGCTGCAAGCAGCTGATGGGAAGCCAACGAAATAAACAATAATTGGTACCACACTTTTCTGCACAAACCGCCGTTCCCCTTGCTTTATTCAAATTCATCAAGGGGAACAAATGCATGAAGTGTCTAATAGAGATTTGTAAGATATCTGTAATATGTCAGCAAAGACCTGTATGTTTCGGTTCACTGTAATCAATTAGATGGAAATACAAAATACGATTACATAATTAGTGACTGACACTGATCTTGTAGCCCGAGTGGCTTAATAGATAAGACTTTAAGATTTGAAACGTAGACACAAGGTTAGAGTCCTAGTGAGGAGGGAGGCTACAAGTCAGATCTCGCATAGACCAAAGTATCTCTCCTGAATTTCAATGCTTATCACTCTCCCATGGAATAAAATCCTACAACGCCTACAACGCTTGCCACTCGCATCCGACGCATCTGTAGTCCCGACGTTCTGGAAACAGAATTAGATATTCTAAGAGAAATCTTCATCCAAAATAGATAGCCAATAGGATTCATCGACAAAAATATCAAACCAAGAATTCGGAGAAACGAAACTTCAATTGCGCCTAAAAAGAAACTCTACATGAACTTGGATTTCAAGAGAGATTTAGCAAGCAATACTTTCACATCTCTGAGAAGAACATTCTTTGCAGCAACGCTAAGAATAGTGTTCTCTAGTCGCCCTTTGATCTGCAGAAGCCTCAAGGGCAAGGTTCCGCATCTGACCACTTCTATGTGCATATATCAGTTCACCTGCTGCTGTGGAGACAGGTACATCAGTCGTTCGACGCGCACCCTGTCCAAAAGGATTCAAGAACACTATCCAGCATGGTTACGAAAAGGCAATAGTGGTGCAATAAGGAGTGCGATAATTGAACACCTGGTTAACACTGATCATTCCATTTCAACAAACGCCTCCTGCTTCAAAGTAATCTACAGAGTTAAGAATAACCTATCAAAGACAATGCGGTTTCGTCTTCTTTGTATCGCTGAAGCTCTGGCCATTCACATAGAAAAAACAGGAGCTGTGCATACAAGAAAGTATTACTCAACCACTTCTACTGCATTGGTAACAACCATTTTTGGTTTGATTTTTTGATTTTGATGACTTAATTCTGTTTCTTTGCTTGATTCTTTAATTGCTTATAATTCCTGTATTCATTTTGAACTCTTACGTAATTTCGTATTCTCTTCTTTGTTCCCATGTGCATCTTGAGTAAAAATCACTCATCAAACTATTCATATTATTACATAACTTCTTTTAACAACTGTTTGTGACAACTTATCACCTTTGTTACTACCCTAATTTCACCAACACCTAATTTTCTTGACTGATTTTGTATTACGTAACTCCAACAACCAATCTTCACCTGTTTAGTTTAAATAACCATAACCAATTGTCTATTTTTGTTTGGCAAACTTCATGTACACATACATGCAAAGTAACACACCTATATTTGCAATTGTACAGCTAAGAAAATGAATTGGCCGCCGAAAAGAAAGTCTTCGCTGAACTATGTGTTTTATTTTCATTAATGCCTGGATGGGGATTATACATAAAATTATTCTCTATTTTTTTTAAAATATTTTTATTTTATTTTATAGGTTGATTTATTTGCAAAGCCTAAAACACAAGTCGAAATTTATAATATGCTTGTACATCTACTGGCTGAAGAAGAGAAGTCCAAAGACTCAGTACGTAAATCAGAAAATGAAATTAGTAGAATATTAAGTGAACGTATCACAGAAGAGCTACAAATCACACTAACTATCGATTTATTCGATACATTACGCAACCTGGAAGCACAAGAATTACGTATCGAATTGGAGAGAATTGCTGAAAGTGAACGTAATCGTTGTAAAGAAATTGAGCTGGATTATTTAGAACCATTCCTTGCACAAATTGATGCAGTCGACAATAAATTAACACGTGAACAAGCATTTGCTTTACGTGAAGAATGCCTGCTGGACTGTAAACAACGTTTAATTACAAAAGCGAATATTATACAAGCGAGATTTGAAAAGGAGACGGAGTGTTTGCAAAAGAAACAACAATGGTATCATTTGAATCAAATTAATTTGAGTAAAGAAGATGAACAAGAGTATCTACAGTATTGTAAAGATGCAACCTTTAAGATTACAACATTGGAGTCAATGCTGGCTTGGCATAAACGTACAGCACCTCAACGATATATGGCACTGGAGAAGAGACTGAGATCAGATCCTCGTCTACGGGAATTTCTTCAGACAAATTAGATTATTGATTTAGTTGGCTTGTCTTTCTCTTTTGGTTGTTCCTCATTGTATAGTATATACACTATATATATACACATATTATTATAAAACTCAGAATAGCACTAACTGTTAAATAAAGGTTAAGATTCTTTTGAATATCACTGACTTTATTCTATATTTTAGCCATATGATGTAGTTTAGTACTAATTAGGCTTAACAGAGGAGGTTTAAATTATTATTATTATTATTATTATTATTATTATTATTATTATTGTTTCCTTTAATTCCTAGAGGAACATAAGGCTTCAGACGCACGTCTCTATTGCGTTCGGTTGTCTGACAACCTTTTTACCTGGCTCCACGTATGCCCACATACTTTCATCTACTCTTCGCATCACCTCCGTCTCCATGTCACCCTCACACTAATGACCAAATCGCCGCTTCTTATCCGGGTTCCGCTCGAACCATGGTCTGCTCATTTAATGTTTTGTTTTCTCAGAGTATGGCCAATCAATCCACCTCCATTTCTTCCTGCTTATTTCTTGCACAGTTGATTCCTGCTGGGTTGGTTCGTTCCCAGAGATCCCTCCCTATTGCTGATCTTTTCTGGCCGTCTGATCTTGGGTACTGAGCGGAGACAGCTGTTGATAAAGGTCTGTAGTTTGTTCAAAGTTGAAGTTGAAAATCTGGATCTTACTTTTATTTTCATGCTGAGTGCTGTTGACCACCACATAGACTTGAGAGAAATGAAAGCTTGCCTTGCTTTCCCGATCCTCACTGCTTTGATATCCTCATCAGTTCCGTCCTCCTGTAGTTGAAACGATGTTTCCCATGTTGAGGTGTAAAGGTGGTTGCTTCTTTCAGATTTCTCTCATTTATGCTGATTGTTGTCTGTTATTGTTGCTGTTGGCCAGGAATTTTCATCACCTCTGTTTTCTCTATGTCCCACAACTTCCTGGCCAGATAAACCAGAGAAATGAAAGTTTTATGTAACTAAGCAAACGTAGGAATTTGAATGGTGACAGGATTTCATTATGAGCTGACATTGGTTAGAGAACCATTGGAAAACCACCTGGGAGTACTGGACACTCAGCTCTTTTTTTATATTCTGGGAGTCTTAATCAGTAGGCACCTACCTTAATAGAGCCAGTCGCTAGTGAGCATCAGACCCACTCATCGCTTCCCGACCAACTCATCTCCATTTCCCCCTAAATATTTTTTGAGCAATCGGCTCTTGGATGGTTTGTTCCACTGTAGAGTGTCTTGTTACTAATTCTTTCTGGCCGGCCGGCTGGCCATTCGATCTTCAGTGTGGAGCCAGCGAAGTGAGCAACTGGTGACGGAAGTCTGCAAAAGGCTTTTGGAAATCCTTTTCGTGACGCGCCGAGTTTCTGACGCACCTAGTTTACTAGCTTTCTTTTTCTAGGTGGTCCCAAGCCCGGGTAAAGAGGGGGGATAGGGCTTGGGGCTAGCGACTCTACACTACAAAACCAATCAAACTGCTACAGAAACTTCAATGCACAAGAAAGCAAGCTTACATAGGCTTAAACCAGTCTAGACAAATTAAGCCATCGGACTGAGGCAGAATATTTATTATAATGCGATTAGACAGCTTTTAAGCCCAACCTTATGCAACCAGTCTCATTAGTTATTTCATAGCTTAATTTTCCAATGTTGGTAATATTTGAATAAAATATTTTCATAAAATATAGATCGATTATTCTCACTGTCTTGGACAAGTCTATCTTCTGTCTTCATTTACATGGGTTCTGAGGGGGTCAGAAGTGATCGGAAATAGATTTAATATTCTAGAATCAGACGAGTTGCTTATTGCCTTCCTGTATGCGACCATAGCCGGGTCATTATTATTGTTATTAATGCCAGCCATACCCGCTCAAATCAAATTTTGGCAGTGCTATTGAACCTCAAACAACATTATCCTCATCAAGATGTACAGTTGTGAAAAGAATCTCTTCAATGAGCATAACATCCGGTAAATGAGGCTGTTTTTGACGAATTTATTTTCTTTGCAAAAAGACCTCGCTTGCTGAATTATTTGTTTTGTTCTTTTGAAAAATGCCTGGATGGGGATTGTTCATAAGTATTATTATTATGTTACAATTATCTTCTTTAATTCCCAGAGGAACATAGGGCTTCAGCCGTACATCTCCATTGCATAAGGTTCTCCGCCAACGTTTCTACTTGGATTCACGTCTCCCCACGTGCTTTCATCTCCTCTTCTCATGACCTCTTCCGTGTCATTCTCGCGCTGAAGACCAACTCGCCGCTTCCCATTCGGGTTTCACTCACGAGCGAATGTCTGGCGTTTGATGTCACTTGATGGTTTTCTCAGAGTATGGCCAATCCACCTCCGTTTCTTCCTGCATATTTGTTGCACAATCGGTTCCTGCTCGGTTGGTTCGCTCCAAGAGATTCCTCACTATTGCTGATCTTTTCCAGCTGTCTGATCTCGAGTGGTATTGAGCGAAGACAGCGATTGACGAAAGTCTGTAATTTGTTCGAAGTGGCCCTCGTGACGCGGCGCGGCGCGGCGTCAAATCTGTGATCCGAATAGTAGCCCTGACTTCACACTGAAGTTGAAAATCCAGACCTAATTTTTTCATGCTGGGGAGTGCTGTTGACCTCCACACAGACTTGAGAGTAATGAAAGCTTACCCTGCTTACCCGATCCTCTTAATATAAGTTGTTAGCCGTTACAATGGAACATTTCAAGTGTCATTGTTTGATTCATATTGCTTTGTAGTTAGGATAATCCCATAGGATGGTTTCAGATTTCGTTGAACTAATCAGGGCAAACTATTTAGGAACAACAAAGTTCAGCAAAGAGTCTCTTTTTCGCGGTGAAATCATTTACTTAGCTGTACAATCGCATTTATTTATAACTATTTCGTGTATGCGTGTGTGACAAGGGTTGCGTAATATGAAACAGGATCTTAATGGAGACACGTATCCAAAAGAATAAATTACGTAATAGGTAGAAAGAGTAAATAAAGGGTTGGTTAAGAAGAAAATGTTACTAAGATGTCATAAAAAATTCAAAACACAAAAAAGAATTACAAACCATTTAACCAATCCTCAAACATATTTGTGGATCGATTAAATTTACACACTCATAAAAGTGTCTCAATCAATGAACTCGCTTCATCAATCATGGGCTAAATACTCTGTATCAGTATGTCATCAGCCCATCAAAGAATCGATTACTTGGAAAAATGGCCGATTTTCCATGTTAGTTCACAAAGTGGTGTCAGTTAGAGAACTACTCGAAATCAGGGAGTACTCGGTGGTTGTTCCGTCCTCCTCTAAGTCAGTTAATCACTACTGATTACGAATTTCAGCAGATAATTTAAACGACGTCATTTCGTGATGAGATTTTTCTTGAAATAGGTCAGTTCCCAATTCATTTAGATTAAGAAAATTGGCAGTTTGATCATCAATAACTGACCTAACTATCAAAGACATCGGGAGTATATCTGGTTGTGGGATGTACTTTCCTGATGGTGGAGCACTTCCTACGGTGCTCCTGACATCTGTTCCAATGTTTCTGCAGTACGCGCAATTATATATACTTACACTTATTCACCGTGTCAGCTACGCATCGTATTCTTCTCTCAACACAACGATTTACTGACACTAGGAGCAAATAAAATTCGAAGGATATTTATTTACAATTTATTTGCAACTTCCATGCACTAAGAATAGTTCACAGATCATTTAAGTTTAGTGATGTGACTAACCAAGTGCTTTCTTCGTACTCCATGTCTTCCTTGTTTAAAACAACAACGGTCGGAAAATAAGGGAAATTCAAATTTTCAAGAGTTGGTTTGTAAGGATTAAATTTGTTTTTACGAGTTTGACCACAGATTAATATCAGTTAGAGAACCACTGAAAACCAACCACAGGGAGTACTCGACAGCTGTTTCCGTTGTCCTAGTTTGGAAATCATCGGCAATAAGCACCCACCACTAGGGTTTGAACCCAAGGCCTTCCAGTTACAAGGCAAGCTAGCTCGTATACCATTCAGCCACTGGGACCAGATTTAATGGCCAGTCCACGAATTCCAACTTCCACCAATTCGTTATTTAGCGCGACCACCAACTAATGTCATCGGTGGGAAATCCATCCTCAGACTTGATTGGTTAGACCTCACTGTTTTTTTCCTTCACGTTCCCCAGTGAAATATAGGGCTTCAAGCTAGTGGCGGAGTTTCCTGGAGATCAAGTGAGAAGTCGTTACCAGTGAGGTCCATCCAGTCGGGAGTGAGGATGGATGTCCCACCGATGACTGTGGTTGGTGGTCGCGCTAAAAATCACGAACTGGTAGAAGTTAGAATTCGTGCAGTAGTCATTAATTGTGTCTCATTGGCTGAATGGTTTACGAACTAGCTCACCTTGTAAGCGGAAGGTCCTGGGTTCGAACCCTGGTGGTGGGTGCTCGCTGCCGATGATTTCCAAACTAGGACAATGGAAACAGTTGTCGAGTACTCCCTGTGGTTGGTTTTCATTGGTTCTCTAACTGATATCAATCCGTGGTCAAACTCGTGAAATGCAAATTGTTAACATACTGTGCGAGACTGTCGTTGTCGAAAAATGCGTGTAATTCCTGGATTTCTACTTGAAAATCATGTACTGTTTACTGCTTCCTGGTGTTTAATGGTCTTATTGTAACCACAGAAGACAAGACATGGAAGCCAAGGTATACTTTTCATTAATCAAACCGCTGTCTATACATATATATATATTTGGCGTACAATTAGGCAGGTTCATCGTCGTATTTCCGAACATCATTCAGCATGGTTAAACAAGGGAAAAACAAGATCTATTCGTAGTTCTATTTCAGCACACCTTGTTGATACTGAGCATAAGGATGATGTTAATACAGCATTTAAAATTATCTATCGCATTCCTACTAATCTTAATTTTGCTCTACGAGTTCGTCTTCTACAGACAGCTGAAGCTATAGGAATCCACCTGAAGAAGTCAAACCTGTTTGTGTTCAGAAGAAATTTGTACAGCCACTTT